TCATGATAGGATGTAGCTTCTCCTAGTGATACAGAATGTTTTAGTCTGATTTAGGACTGTGGTACTTGACAAAGGGGTCTGTACTATAATTATGAAAGGATGCCTTAAAAAAAATAAATTCCAACTCTTCAGAGCAGCTCTCTTCAGTGTTAACAATTTCCATCCAAAGGCATTTGTAAATACTGCATTCTTCCTGTGAGAGGGACCTTCAAGAAGTGATACAGCCTCTTTGCCCAGAAAAAATTCATGGATATCAGAGTATAGTGATATCTACCATACAAAAAAAAAAAAACAACCCCAAAAAACCCAAACCCAAACCAAGAAACAAATGACATCCTATTTATTTTAAAACAATAGCAGTGGGAAAAGACACATGCTGGTCTGGGGAATCAGATGAAGGTGAAAGAGATCAGTTCAAAAAGGCAGAAGACCAAACCCCCACCAAATTCTCTGGTTTATTGGATGGGTGTCAGCAGTGTAAACTTGCCTCCTAGTTCCCTACATCTGCTTCAACTTAGAAATGGAGGAGAGATGGATGAGAGAGGTTGGCTGTTGGAGTGTTTTCTCTGCATATTAGCTACCAAGGCTGTGAACTCATCCCATGCATAACTCCACTGGAGCCAGTGGAGTTCTGCCCCAGGAACTTAGCCTGTCTCCCTCATCTGTGAGCTGCAGTAATAGCTTTCCTCACGTGGAACTGTGTTTACAGAAAGCAGACTGAACTGGCCTCATACAAGCCACCATTATCACCTCCCAGTAACCTGGCAAAGCGCAGGACAAGCTGCTGCTCTGTGTTTTCATAATCCTGCAGTAATTAGTGCCTGGCATCTGGAATGGAAATAAGGTGCGTAACATAGAGTTTCCAAGATGACACTGTTTTCATTAGATGCTTAATTTTTCAAAGAATATAAAGGCAGATACATCAAAATGCCATGGAGCTTTTTTAAAATTAAAGCCCCCCCTCCCTTTCCTTTTCTTCTCAAGATATGCAAATGAATTGAGCCATTAAAGAGAAAGATAAAAGGAACCCCAAACACTGTTTATGCATAGGCTTTATGACAGCAGCTATTTATTTTCCAGGAGACATTATTCTGACTGGAGGAAGTTATAGTGCAGCTTGACAGAACTCAAGGCTGCTTTGCAGTGCTACAGAGGCAGACAATAACTGGAAGGATGCCCTACCTACTTTTGGGAGGTTTCACCTCACAGCATAAATCCTTCAACCAAATTTCATGCAGTGTTCTGCTGGAGGTGGTATTCCAGTACCCCAAATACCATTCTGCTGTTTATGATCATGCTTTGGGTTACTTGGATGGCTCAGGTTTGGAGGTAAACAAGAGTGGATTGCAGCTGGTTTCTGACTTCTGTGGTGAAGCTTCCTGTGCTATAGCTTAATACCCACACCATGTATGATTGTTTACCATTGATATAATGCACCCTACACAAGGTACATATAATGCATCTTCTCTTCAGAACAACAGCACATTGTCCCTGGAAAATGGGCATAGCTGGCAGCAGGTGAAAAGTGGTCTCTGTCCAAACTGTTGGCATAAATCTCCCGGACTGCTTAGCCCAGGATTTTATCTGAGAAGATTGGGATCAAGAACCATGTTATTTAGTTGGCAGGACAGAGTTTGGGTGGTGGGTTTCACTGAGGTCATTTACTAACCCTTGTACGGTACTTTTTTTGATCAGCCTTGAAACAGTGAGCAAGGACATTTGGTTCTGTGCTTCACCGTAGATGCTGCCTGACCTCTCGATTCCAGGCCTAGCAGCCAAATAAGTTCAAATAAACTGATCCAAATGCTGAAGTGCTCGCTTAGGCAAAATTCACTGTTTGTTTTCCTTAGACAAAGATTAAATAAAAAATGAATCACGATTTCTGGAACTTGCCTCTTAAAATCTGGAGGACCACACTTCAGAGACAACTAATGGAAGATAAATGCATAAGAGGTCAGTACAGAGAGTGTTATTTTTATTTTTATTTTTTCTTATATATTATCTACAAGCACAAGCTTTTTTGTTTTTAATGTAAAAATGCATACAGATCATTATCTATCTATCTATCTATCTATCTATATAAAAAATCAACTAGCCTTGTAGCAAACTGCCAGATGCAACTATCCCCAGGTTTGGGGACAACTTCTCTGGATCCAAGTGCAAACCCAGTGACCAACCCTCACTTCCATCTGTGGTTGCACTGAACCCCGTGATACAAAGATTCTTAAAGTTCTAGGGAACTTGTGGCTCCTGATCCAGGTCTTGCAGCATGGGCATGACTAACTCTTCATCAATTGAAGATAAATATTTAAAAACTTCATAAATGGCAGTCAACTTGTTGTAGGTAACAAGTATCCATTTCACCTTTCCTCCCCCTTTTTGTTTATTATTCTTCCCATCCTTTCTCTGCAGAAATGATACTGGGCAGAGAGGAATTTAATGTTAGTGTCATGTATCTACAGTTAAATAGCAGCAGCAGAACAGAATTTAAACTGTTGATGACTGCTGCAGAAAAGCTACCGAATGGGGGTTCGCGTTGTATTTGGCCCTTTCAATGTTTGAGCACTCTTGGGCTCAGTGTGTACATTGTAGAAATATGACACATTTATAGCATAGCCAATAAAATGCTGCAACATTGTAAGCAACAGTAAATCAGACGGCATTTAATATGTATCAACAGATTATAATATACTATAACTGGCTTGACAAGCAGCCAAGGTAAAAAAAAAAAAAAAGAGTAATTATGTAAAGAAATTTGTGTTTGTGTTGGAGGAAAGGTCACAAAATAACAGCCTCCTTTTTGACTGTTTATCACGTTCATCAGTTTCCAAATTCAGCCTATGCAAAGGAATGTTACTATTTTTATTAGAGGTTCTTTATGTAACAAGTCATTTTTGCACAGTGGAACATTTTCCTTCACCAGGATTTTATAACTTCTCTACACAGACATTATAAAATAAGATATAATTTGCTGAGATCCTTCTGGGAAGGACTGTGGACACAACTTAGCCTTCCCTTCCTTTCAACCCTCCTAATATGATTATGAGTAATTTATTTTCTCTTGTCATTCATATATTATCATTTTGGTTTTTAAATGCAGCTCAACTCTGAACCCCAAGAAAGGTTTTCAGAGAAAGGAACTGTTGAAGTTGTCTTAGTGAGGGATAAATCAATTGCTTAGCATACCAACACAGAGACTTTCCTTTCAGCTATGTTGCTATGGGATTGCAGGTATGGATTTTGTTTACTTCGGATTCGTGCAACAGCACTGATTTGGAAGGTAACAGGATGACTTAGTGTCTATACCTGCAAATGCTCACTCTGGATCCTAATGTTGTAAAATACATGTTTACAACTTCAGACCTTCAGCTAACGGCTACTGGTGTGTGAACAGGCACTAGCTCTTTACTTTACACTTGTATTGATTCTGCATTACTAACAGGTCTAAAAATAGCAAAATATCTCTTTTTTTTTAAGCAAAAGTTAGAGTTATTCCAAATAATTTGGGAACAGGTGTGTCACAGAGATTGTGATATCCCTTATCCCTGCCCAGAAGCGCATAGAGAAGTTTCCATTGCAGGGTGTCTAGCTGATGTATGGCCATACACCTGAATATCAGGACCAAAATACAGACACTGATTTCAAAAGAGTGAAATGAGTTTTCACTCTCTAGGATAGGGGAAACAGAGAAAATAAACAACAGCACAAATAAAATATACATCTGAATGTGATGTTCTTTGATGCCGGTTGGGTAAAAGAGAATGTTTAACAAAGTTTACTTTGGTAAAGCATCTTTGAGTCAATTCTTTTGAAAAAAGTTCTGGCTTGAGACTTTTCTCTGTTATCAGGTATATACCAGCTTGATTCTCCAGACTGATGTGGTGTAGAAGTGGCCTGGTAGAGACAGATAATGGTTGGACTAAATTATATTAAAGGTCCTTTCCAACCCCAGCGATTCTGTGATTCTGTGACTGTTCCACCACTTACATGGCTATTTATAATGGCATGAAGTGTTATCCAGCCAGATATCCTCACTCGCCTACATGTGTGGCAATTTACAATTGATAGCCTTTTGGTGTTACTTCCTCACAGAGGCAAATAACCATATGAAGTACAAAAGCAGTGGAGAATAAAGTTGTAAGGAGTTGCTACAAGGGGGCTGTTCCTTATAGGAGAATACTGCTAATATTGTCCTTTTGATACGGTAGAGGCCATTCACATCTGATTTACATTTGGACTTAGACTTTAAATACTTGCCTTCTCATGGATTCAGTTCTTCTTTGGTATAAGACAGAGTAAAAGGAACCACTTGAATTGAAGTAAGACCAAAATGAAAATGTAAACAAAAGCTAAAAACTACCCATAACTAAACCCATAGTAATATGGTTATTTTTTTAGTTTGATTTCCCAACACATACACTCCCATTTCCCCAAGTACAGTGTTGCATTTGGAGGGGGAAATGCTGAAATGCCACTGGACTAGCAGATTATTTCTTGGTAAATTCTGCACTTTCAGAGGAACTGGAAAAGCAGCTGAACTTCAGCTCTGTTGAAAAGAGTGTCTTGCTGGCTAAACACTCCATGAAATAGACCTTTCCTACTTTTTTTGCGTCCCTTGCAAAGAACATCAGCACTCATAGATTTGACAAAAACAGCAACAAGGATAGACAGTTTGGAGTAAATACACATCATGTGTCAATCTAGAGCTGGTGAAAGGTGCCAGATGAACTTTCTGGTACAACAAAGCAGCCTTTAAGCATCTTCAGTCCTTGAGAACACTGGTTGTGATGGTTGTCGATGGACTGAGGGCTGAACCTTACTCTCCAATGCCTACTGAGAGTGGCTGGCTGGAAATGATGTTTAGGCACTACTGACTTGCAGGGGATTGGAGCCATCCTTGTAGAAGCAGAAGATGCTCTGTCACTGTGAATCCCCACAATCATCTAGTCCTTTGGAGTTTTTTTTCTTCTTCTTCTCTTTCTCTTTTTAAATTTTTTTTTCCATGTTAGCTAGAAGCAGTGTGGCCAAATACATTTTCAAACAGGAAAAAAGTCTGGCCCCGTGTTACTCAAAAAAGTGATGTGGTTTTGTCTTTGCTATTTTTTTTCAATTGCAAAGCTTAGACCATTTTTAATTAAATGTGCTCTGCCTGCCTCATCCCTACTCCAAGCTAATATGCACTAAAATGCTTCTGTTGCTTAGTACAGCTCTTTTTAGCTGCTGATTTTGGTAAGCATCTTATTAATTGCCTGCTTGACGTGGGTGGTAGAGCTTCGTCTCCGAGTCTTGCCCTGGACCATCTTCCGACGCCGTACCTCACGACAGAGCTCATAGAAGGCCTCCATAATGTTGCCCTCTCCTGTGCAAGCAGAGCACTCGTAGAAAGCACATGCTAGTTCTGTGGCCAGCTTTTCACCTTCCTCTGTGCTGACCTGTCTGGAGTGATCCAAGTCTGCTTTGTTCCCCACGAGGATCAGGGTGACATTTTTGGGTTTTTTAACTTCATCCAACAAGTTCTTAAGTGGCAGCACGTCCTCGAAGCTGCCTCTGTCTGTGATGTCATAAACCAACACAAAGCCCTCACCCCATCGCACGTGTCCTTCTTTCTGAATAGCGTCCTCCTGTTTTGAAAAGACAGACAGCAGCCTTAGGAATTTGATTCATGAAGAAGACACCAGGCCCTTGGAAAGACCTTGGTTCTCCAAAGCCCACAAAGTCATGCACATCTGCTTTACTTCATACTTTACACATATCACCTTTTTTCTCTTCTAGCATAGGAGATCTACTCTACCAAGGTGCCACGGATTGCCTGTGGACAGGCTGGTAGCAGGCAACTGGAAGAGGTCTCTGTTGAATGAAACCTAGCACACAAACTACATAGAACTGTGCAGCCTGAGCACCTGCCATATTTTGAAAGGAAGGGAGACCTGACTATGACAAAATTGCTCTTTATTCCCAATGATGGGAATAATTGACTGTCAACCCTCATCAATCAACCGTGGAAATAGACTGTGACTTTTTGCATAATGTTAACATCTTGCTGGGTTGGCCCTGAATCAAGAAATAAGAACAAAATAATTTTAATCCCAGAGAAAATCCTGATTTGTTTGTTCTTCCAGTGTTTGAAAACTCTAAGCTGGGTCCCTTGCAGAAGGGTCTGGATCCAGCATACTGAGTCCAGCCACAGGCTGCTGGTGGTGGACAAGGGTGGGCTCTGCTCAGAAGCAAATCTCTGCCCCAGATGCAGAGCACACCTGCCACCCACCCCACTGCTGCCACCACCACCACACTCCCCTTCCCTGCTATCTATCCAAGCCAAGGTATTGGATAACAGTACAAATACCCACGCACCTGACCAGCTGTATCTAGTATCTCCATGGAAACCACTTCATCATCAATGGTAGCTTGGTGACGATATGTAGACTCTAAAATAAGAAAACATTTTTGTGAAACATATAAAAAGAAGACAATTATTTTTTTTTGTACCTTCTTTACAGCTACCCCAGCACAAGATCTGAGACAAGACCGTACAGCTTCACCGAATGTTATTTGTTGGAGCTCTTCCAGCTATTCTGGAGCACACTCAAGTCCTCCCTTCTATAACAGTGACTCTTTTACCTCTCCCCATACAGCACAACTCTTTCTATCCTAAGCCTTCTATCTGCAAAGGGCTGTGATTGTAGATGCTGCACTCTGCACTCAACAAAAGGACAGTTTCCTGTGGTCCACAGAGGTCTTACAGCTTACGGCTGCAGCTCGTTTCTCGTCTGTGCTCATAGGGAAGGCTGCCACCTGTGAAACATCAATACTGCTACTCTTGAAGTGTGCAACTCAACAGCCTGTCACTGCCTAGCTTGAAGTCTCACAAGATCAAAACCAGGATGGTTGCAGATCAGGGAACCTAAACAGTAAATTTAGGCCTTATACTGTGATACAATTAGAGAATAATTAGCTATTTTAGAAACGTCTCTTTGAAACATGCTGAAATCATCATATTAATGTCTTCTAGCAAAGGCTCAAGCAATGATTTTGCTGTGTATGATTTATAAGGATATCCCATGGGCATTAGACATTCGTACTACGCTACAGGAAAAAAAAATAAAGGAACCTATTTACTGTGTCCCACATTCTGGAACCAGGCAACTAATCAGAAAGCTAATGACAAAAGGGCTTGTTTTATCTTAATGAGCTGATAAGTTATATTTGATAGCATTTGACCCAGAACTTGGAAGATTATCTGTGCTAACATTTAGATTTATTACTGTTGCTAGCTCACAGATGTCCTCTATCAGAAAGTAAATACTGTAAAACTGTGGCCAGTGACTATGAATGCTTTGCATTGTCAAGAGACACAGCTCTTTTACATGGTGCAAATCTCCTCGATGGGAACAAAGGATGTCTTCAAGGAAACATGTTTCTTTAATTTGAACTTCTGAAGAGCTCATGTTTGGTGAATATCTTTTTTTTTTTTTTTTTTCTGTTACATACTTAAGAATGTCAGCTCTTCATAAACATGAATTTTTCAGTGCTGTCAGTGCTGCAAAGACTCTCTTTCCAAACCAAAAATGTTACTTCCCTCCTGTGTCACCTTAGTTGCTCGAAGTAGCACAGCTGCCTCTAATAGGGACAAATGGTCAATTTAATTAGCAGATAGCAAGCAATCTGCCTGTAGGGTTTTAAGCAATGAAGATTAGGGTTTTTTAAAGGCTGTAAACATGCCTTCTGTTTAGTACTGCAAGGCTGTTGAAGGATATGGAGTTCCACCTTCTTGATCCTGAGACTACATCTATGCAAGAGGGTAAGATATCCTTGAGTCTCTCAGTGGTATGTCTAATTTGTCCCTTCTGTGCACCATTGTAGTTGCAGCAGTTCCCCCTGGGAATACAGAAAAGACAGGAGCTCTTGTTTTGTGTGGAAGCTGCTGTGATGCACCTTCAACAAGTCATTTTAGTGGATAAGATGTTCAGTGCTGGGTTGAGACTCCCTGTGCAGCACCCCACCTCTAAGATCATATAGGAATTTATGCTTGTTTTTTTGGGTGGAAGAGTGCTGTGAGGCAGAGATGGCGCTCTAAGTGAGTAATGTGACACTACCTCCTTGCTTGTTTAGGCCTTGCAATGCTTAAATGCTTTCAACCATCTGGTCCTGCTTGACACGTAGCAGTTGAGAATTGTTCCACACAACTTCAGAAAGTGTTCATTCAACCATGTTTGCAGTGTATCTGTAAAATGTCCTTCTTAGGAGGCAAAGTGTGGCAGGCCATGCAGTTATTACATGTGTCATGGGGGAATAAATCTCAAGGAGTAAATGTATTCATTGTAGAAAAGCAGTATGGTTCTTAAATGATACTTCAGTTCTCAAAATATGACTCTGGTGGCACTTTATGTTGCAAGTTTAACTCACTTCGGCTGTCCATATTGGGATGGGATTGGATCTTGGACTAGTAGCACTGATTTGGGTCAGATTAGTGTAAATATGTCTTAGTAAATTTGTGTATCTTCCTTAGCTTTGGAATGTGTGGTAGCTGGGTGAATTTTCATGAGTGTAAAACAGCTTGATGTTTAAAGCATTTTTTCTGGTATAATCACAGGCATGGCTTCTCCTTCAAGGGAATAGAAACATCTGAGGAATCTGATTGTTTTGTATGTTATGAGCCCTGAAGTTGTGATTTCTAGTCTGTTCGCATCAATCACGTGGTACTTCACAAACACATTGCCTTACTTTAGGATTTATTAATATTATTTTCCCTTTCACACTTATTTTTAGGTTGGGTTTTTTTTGAGACACACAGCTAGAGGGAAATCAGATGACTTGAGATACCTGCTGGTTCCCTAACTGAAACCAGCAACAACACAAACGTCTGTGTTTCAGCCAAGCACACTTGACTCCTATTAGAGCTGATGAAGTAATATAGGTGCTGGACATAGCTTGTCTGATCTCTCTCCTGGGATAAATCACACCTCAAAAGCACTTAGAAGAATTCTCTAGCAATCTTGCTGTACAAAGCAAGAGCAATTTAAGTTTATTCCAGAAATACTTAGAGCTGTCAAACGGCCCGAGAAACATGTTGGCAAGTGGTAGCAGTTGGTTTGTTTTTAAGTCTATAATATGTTGCCATAATAATTCATTAATGGGAACTGGATAAAGTGTTCAGATGACCACAGCTGCTGGATAATTACGGAAATAATGATTTATTTTTTTTTTTTAGGAAAAAAAAATTTAAAAACTTGCCTGTGTTTATAAGACTGTTATAAATCTCCCTAATCTTCTGAGCAATATGATTTTTTTAAAATGCAGGAAGAAAACTACTGAACTTATATGGGAAAAAACTTTGACATCCATTATCCATAGACTGTCCATGGATATGATATTCAATCACAGCTTGGTGATATACATCCTTGTACTATGCTAAGCTGGTCATATCTCAAACCTATTTGTCCAGGACTATCCTGATCTATTGACTATATCTGCTGCATAAGATCATATTTTCTAAGGAAAAACTATTACCTAAGAAGTAATTACTAGCTCTTGGTTTATATTTGCATTGATGTAAAAAGCTGGTGTTGGTACTTGTTTATTGTGAACAGGCAATACATATAAGGGGTATGTTGCAGCTATGGAAGGAAATATTTGCATTGGAAGGATTTATTCCTTTTAGGAAAACACTTGCAGTAAGAGTAAATCAATCAGCTGAGATGGAGCAATGACATAAACCATTCTACATGTAAATTTAAGGAACAGCCTTGTCTCTTTTATTTGCTTCTAAGCATAGAGGGAGACAAACTCTGCTTCTGTTCAGAATTTTAGTTCATTTCTGTCAAAGTTTGACAAAACAAGGACATAAAAAGTGCTCTAAGAAACTTTGGTCTTATGCTGGCTTTCAGCTTGCTGGATCTGAGAATTGTGAGAGACCTAGAAAAAGAGGTTTTGTGTAATAACTATAGCTGAGCTTTCAGACCAAAAAGCTTCAGTTATTAGACATGAACTTCTAAGTTAAGGTTAAAGTCTTGTTGGATAGCAATACAGTATATTTAAGAGACTTAAACTTCCCATAGTTGCTTCTGATTACATAATAAAGGTTTCTGATTTTCATTTGTTTTTAAATAAAATCACAGCTCATTTAGACTCATGCAATCTTCATCATCCGTCAGGATGGTACCTGTCCCTATCACATTTGAAAAGACTAACTCTGACAGGTCATCCAAAAAAAAACTCCAAACAAACAAAAACCCCCAAACAACAAAAAAAATCCCAAACTCACTTATTAGCCGTGGTGCTGTTTGATATGTTTTTCAGAGCCTTTCTTGAGCCTGCCTTTGTGAAATCTGTCCCCCTCTACATACCCTTGCTGCTTCAGGAACTCTTCACTTTTAAAAAGCCCCTGTGAGTTGAGTGTATCTTCCTGAACTCAAAGTCTCTCCTGCTGCCTTCTCCTACCTCAGCTCTTCTTAAAACTCTGCTGAATGTATTTTTGTTGCTTGCATCTTGCTGTTGCTCCACCCATTATTTATCTTACAAGAGTTTTTATTTTGCAATTTCTCAGTGGTTTTACAGTAAGCATAGTGCTGGTCTTGTGTATTTAGAACATGTTTCTAATGCTAATGCAGTGCATTGCCACATGTTTCTTTAGTAAGTGATACTACAGACCCCATAATAAGCATAGTTGGGTTATTGATCAGTAATATCATCAAATAATATGCTATGCATTGTTATTGCAGTTGTTTTTATCATGTATAGACAAGGAAAAAGTAGTAAAAAGGAAGTTCCTGAAAGGAAACTGACTCTGACAGCTCTGATAATTTGACTTGGATCTCAAGTGTTGTATGTCCATACTTGTAACCCCAAGAGTCAGAAAATGCAGAAATACAGACAGTGAGTGTGTCTTAGCTTGCTGAGTAGCTTTTAGTTGCCATTTTCAGTCCAAGTTGAAGATCTCAAATATTTTTGCACTATATGAATCCAGGTTGAGGAGAGGGTAGACACCCTACTAATGCCCCTAAAGAGGCACAGGGCAGAAGCAGCAGTGTGTGCTCTGGAAAGTCAGCAGGA